ATTTTTTTACAGACAAATCGGCCGATTCTGGAGAGCAGGCCTGATTTTTTTCCGGACATTTTGGTCAGACTTGGCCATATTTACCCCGGCACCTGCCGGGGAAGCTAAATTTAGACGTACCCACGCCACAGTTGCCTTTTAGAGCCACTTTTTCGCTGTGATGCCTGTTTTTTTCCGGACAAAAGGTCCAAAATCGGCGATTTTCTTCCGGACAAAATGGGTCTACTTATGGGTCCTCGGGATCAGGCATTTATACTGATTATCGGGGGTCCTGGGTTACCGGAGTGTGACATACTGTGACATTGGCGGGTAGCGTGATATGTGGCAGGGTGCGCGGCATATGCCGGATGGTCCACATCATGCTATATGTCGCCTGGTATGGGTGCCCACTGCCATAATGGTATAGTTTCTGGGTCGGAGTATCGAACAACTCCATAGAAAATGTTTTAAAAGTAGTAAATGGTGGTCGATATGGGTCTGATTGAGCTAATAATAGGATGATTTATGGACCCTCCAGAAAGGTATGGGTTATGGGGTATCAGAGAGTTATGGGTTGTCGCGACGATTAATTAGGAACCAAATCGGTGGACGCAAAAATGTATGGGTTATTAGAGGTTATGGGTCATTGGAGGTATGGGTTAAGGGAGAGTCGACTGTAGTACTATTGCTGGCTGAACCGGACCCGGATGTTGCGGTAACGCTTCCGCTTGCGGTTTGAGGTGCACTACCACTTAGATCCCGTCTACGGCTCTGTCGAGAGTGGCCATGAAAGAAATAGGTACGGTTCACTATGTGCTTGACCCGTCCAGAGGCGTACCCCGCCACTGGCACGCAGTCCCGGACGCGTACGGTGTCAGAAGTGGACCGAGGTAAACTAGAAGTGCCATTAAAATATAATACACTGCTGTTATACAAGACGATGGACAGAAGAAAAGCAAAATACGAAACCGGACCACAGGCAATGAGAGATGTCAATGAAAGGGGAACGGCAGACTCGAGACGCGGCGCAGTCCTATTTCTTCGTCTTCGCCTTCTTGGTTGCAACATCACCCTTCTTGTCCTCGATCTAACCAGTCATTATCAGCAAAAGTACAGCCAACCCAACATGAACAAAGCTCTGTTCATGCCTTTCGTTTCGTGCCCTTCGCGTCCTTGCCGGATCCCTTTCCTTTCGTCTTCTCCTCTCTCTGGGGGGATGTCTTAGGCTTGACGCTGAAAAAACCGTCCAGACGGCCTTGCTGTTTCGCATTGAGATGCTTCTGAAGTTTCTCAGCACCCTTTCGTACCCGATCCTCGCTAACGTATTATAGTCAAAATTGTGCGGAAGCTAGTAGTATCTGGACATACTTGAAGCCTTTCTCAGTGACCAAGAAATCCACCAAACCATCGACATCTGGATTCTGCCACTCGATCTGCGAGTCAGACGCAACTGGTTAATGTTCCGTTTCGGGCTTCGCCAATATCGCTTACTTCGAGTTCATCCGCTGGTATCACATCAGGTTTCTCGAACAGCTTCTTCGCTTCCTCCCAGGGCCAGTCCTGGGGTATATGGATGCCGCCCTTTTTCTTTTTAGCGTCGTCTCCGGCTTCTTCCCCTTTCGCGGCTACTCTACGAACGAAATGAGTTTGATGAGGACTGCAGCACGAAATGCAGGGAGGCCGCTAACTTTTTCCGTAGTTCTTCTATGGCACCCTTCAGGCCTCCATGTTCCCGAATCAGCTTGAGAGCGTTCTTTGGCCCGATACCCTTAATGGGCTCTAGGTAATCGCAACCTAGTAGTATGCAAAGATCTATGAACTAGAAGACCGGATCAAATAGCGGCTGTCATGGGAGCGCGTGCATGCATACCTGAGACATATCCATCTCCAGGCCTTCGAGAACTTTCGCAAGGTCGATCTCGCTGATTGGTTGTTTTTTAGCTTCCGAGAAAGTGAGATGGCGGAGGAGAATAGGAGCATTAAATGTTAACGTGTCCATATCTTCAGAGCCGGCGGCATAGACCTTCCCTCCCCTCGCGAGTTCGGCGCACTGCGCTTCTGCTTCGGATGGTGCCTTACGGGATAGATCAGGTAAAAGGTTGAAGCACGACCAGAGTAAAGCGTACCACAACGACAGGGATACCCATCAACTTCAATAGTTTCCGGCACTCTTCATTATGCTCCTTCGTCACTCGAACCTGACGTCGAGCAAAACGGTCCATCTCTTCAACGGTACCTGCATCACGCAGTGATTAGCTCTCGCCGGTACAGATAGGATGCACAGTACCCACCCGTCTCTTTGGCTTCTTCACCCTCCTCCTTAGCCTCCTCTCGTCTTTCAAACCGTTTGGCGAGCTTGCCGGAACCGGTTTACAGACGGCCATAGCGGGTAGAGATACCTGTAGCACTTACCACTCCTGATTTGAGCTCGGGTGGTTTCCCGTCGAAAACATACGCAGGTTTAATACCGTTCTCCACCATCCGTATCGTCCGGTAGAAGAATCCCATGAGATGACTGGTCACCCTCTAAGCTCCGGTCTACTCTTTTAAAGCCGCACAAATCTCGCACCTAGTCGTCTCCCCAGCATCATTCGTCAACATTTCCCCGTCGCGTTGTCGAACAGCAATGAGGAACTGGTATATCGACATGGACGCGTCAATGGCCACCTTTCGCCCGAAAAGTGTTTTAATTTCATGTTCCTAAACAAGGCGTAAGCTCTAAGTTGCTGGTAACATGAGCTTAACCAGACCTTGATAGCGGCGGGAGCATGCTCGGAGATCAGACCGTAGAGACCTTTGATACCCATGTCGACTGGCGGTCACTGGCCGAGGTTTCGCGTCGTAAGAAGCCGGAGACGCGCCGCGCGCCAACAGAATGAGCGTGACGTCACGCGACAACATGTCCTTCCCGAACAGGTATGTTTTCCCAATGATTTCCGTCCTGTTTCCAGCCTGTGAGCTGCTGCCTGTCCAGTAAACTAGACGCTTTCAAGCTGACTCTGGCTTTGCCGAACCGATAGAAGCGGAACCAAGCTACTATGTCTCAATATTCTATGACAGGCCAGCATAGGCCTCGAAAACGGGCGAGGACGAGCAGTGCATCAGAATGTGAATCTTCAGCTTCGTCCATAGGATGTGATAGTGAGTGACTTGGTTGCGTCGTGAGACCAGTTTGGCTCATTTCGCAGTGTCCGCCTTACAAAAGATTGCTGCTGAAGAGATCGACCTTGAGATCGCTCTCAGACAGCGACTTGCCGCAACCATTAGTGATCGCATAACCTGGGCTATTTTGCTGCAGGAGTCGCTTTCTCGAGGACTTGAGGGTAACCCATTAACCACACTCTGTTGCTTCCCGGGACTGACCTCCTACGTAGCTGGAGACAGCTCGAGCACAGACTTCCGAGCGAGCACTTTGGAAGCTTTGGCAGCCATTGAAGCCCCTTCTAATATGTTGCTCTATCGGGAACCCTTCTTGTTACCCACTCGCCGTCCGCAGCCTGAACCACGACCAGTCGCTCAACAGGAATTAGTATCACAGTCTAGACGCCGAGGACTTCGGAAGTCTCAGCTTTCCTATATCCCGAGCAAGCCCAAGCTCCTGTTTATTCGTCACAACACGGACGAAGGCCCGGTTCTTGCCAAACTTCAGTGTCCAGACTGTGGTCGAGCCGACTTCCCCAATTTGCAAGGGTGCTTCAACCACTGTCTCCTGAAGCATAAACGGCAATATGGAAGTCATGATGAGTGCATACAACATTGTGCAGTCGTCGTCCCGGAAGAAGACAGGGATTGGGCCGTTGCGAATGGTACTGAAATCAATGGCGCCCATCTTCCCGGTTTGCGCAGACTGTTTGAAATTGCGGTTGGAGGTGCGGAGTCTGAAGATGTGCGCAAACGCATTGACGCCCGCATTGCTCTCCCAGCCGTTAGCCAATCCGAGGACGACAGGGATCGTGAAGCCAGCGTTCACATTACTCGCACTCTGGGTCTTCACAAGGACACGCCGAGCCTGGCCCTGTTCCTTGGGAAGATGCCCCGTGAACGATGCGTCAATGCCCACAATGAAGACGAGGAAGCGGACATTGTGGGTGGTGCTTCGCCGCTCTTAGGGGATGGCAGTACCAGACATAGCTGGCATAAGATATATCCCCACCGCAATAGAGCTCGCCCGGAATTGGACATTGTCCCTGATGAAGCACATATGGAGGTGGACCAACCCGGTCAACTTTCTTCTCAACCTTCTGCTCTGCCTTCCGCTCCGGGCGGTAGTGGAAGCCGTTTCCACATGACAGCACGAGTTATTATGACAGACCGGAGTCTCTCGATACCAGTTGGTACGATCGCTGCCCATTACGAGCTTATATCATTCTTGTATAACAGACTCATGTTCGTCTAGACCGGCGACCGTCGGGTAATCCGACACACACCCATCTGTGGATATTATCAATCGATTCACCATCCTACGTACGTATCTCTGTAGGACTCACCTCCATCGCCCCACTTAGGTTATTCCCAGAGTCTGCACATATCAAGGTTCTTGGCGAAGGTCATCATTAGTTCTGTTACTGAACCGCCTCCATCTACTCTCGAAAAGCCTATAACCCTAACGGAACCGCCTTTCGCTGTTATGAGCACTACGGATAGGCCTTTTCTTGCCCGAGTTAAGTTGGAATGGGCAGGGGCTCAAAATCCGCCCATGGATATAGAACATTGGGTAGAGGTAAGTTCGCAAATCCTGAAGGGGGACTACGTCGTATAGAGACTCAATGATTCTCCTTGTAAGTTGGAAGAGTACAAATACCAGTATCAGAATCCAGTACTAGGTGACGAACAGATATTGGACGTAGAGCTTGACCGGGGAACCGAATTGTTACCCCTCCGGGAGAATAACACCCATCTTAAGTGGAAGGGCCTCGGTGATCTCAATACCATTGACAGGGACGAGGATGCCACCAACATTTCGCGGCCGAGTATGCCTCATTCTTGCGTTGTAAGGTTGATCTGACGGGTTCTCCAGGTTATATCGCGTCCCTCTTGAGCCTGTTACCCGAATTCCCTATGACGCTCAAAGGTGAGTGCAGGGTATGTCGAACTATCGGACGACGGAGTTCATGGATGAGTAGACGTCAAGGGCCGATCGCGGCCTCGAGTGCCATACAGCCTGGTTGCCAACCTGGAACAGCTAAAGTCTTTAATTCCCGGTCGTCGCAAGGCAATAGAGGTGGGTCCCTATTTTGTTCTTTTGCTGCAGCGACTGAAGTCGGGCCGCCGTAAGTGGTCCCGAGCAAGGGCGTTGCAGGACGCTTATCGGTCCGCATACGAAGGGAGAGAGGAATACGTGCACCTGACAGCCGGAGACGTATACTGCTGGTTGGAGGATGAGGGTCATTTTCTACGGCCTCCCGTCTGCCTGGACAGCAAACAAGACAGCACTGACGAGCCCAACACAACCACTGTGGCTCTACAGGTGTTCTGTCATGTTTGCGGTTTCACTGCCAGTCATCATGCTCAGGCCCTTTCCAAGGTGAAACAGGCTTCAAACAGCGTAGGGTGCCCCCTTTCGGCTATTCGCGCTGTTCGCATGCCTGTCTTCGACGTCAGAGCGTTGTTGGGGAGACTGACAGATACATCCGGCAGCATGGTCAAAACGCCGTATAGTCTATCTCACACACTCCTGGAGTCTACGCCCATCTCTCCTGTGATCATGGAACGCTTTAAAGCATTGGATCTGATTACCGTCACCGACGCAGCTGTGACTCAGTCAATATACCAACTAGTCAGTTCCAGGGGCTTTAGACTGGGCCGAGGCGACAGCACACTGTCCTCCGGGCAGGCGAAGTTACCACTGGAGCAACTGGGCGCCGCTAAGCGCGAGGTGGAAGAAAAGCTCTCGAGCGCTGCGGTTCTAGCACTCCTAGTAAAGCCCCTGGTTCGCCAGCTCCTTAGCAACGCAGTAAACTCAATGAAGAAACAGGACGAAGACAATCATACTCAAGGGTGCCGTCATGGGGTCGGTCCCCTCCCAAGGGAAGTGCGACTGCTCACACCTAGGCATATTGTCGAAGGTCTGGGCATGGGTGCACCGCGTGGACTTGCCGAGGATTCTACGTCTCTAATTTTGGGTCGTCTGGGAGAGAGCTTCCTGCACATATAACTCAGACCTGGTATCCACACCGCCGGCCCGAGACAAGCCGGAAGAGACATCGTGTAGAACGCCACATGATGAAAGACGAGGACGCTAGAGGTAACCTAGTCGGCCGTCTCAGGTTATAGTGCATACGTCGGTCAAGTCGTAACAGTATATAGGGGTAAGTAGCCTCGAATGACAGTCGTCTGTCGCCTTCTGTCGCCCACCTAGATTTCATCGGCTTCTGATCTCTTGGCGGATCTGAATCCCCTGTTTACTGGCAGAAGCTTCAAAGTTGATTATCCAGGCAAACAGCATGAGATCTAGAGCAGATCCCGCGTTCTACTTTTTTTATGGACAAGCATAGGCTCGCCGGCAGCTGACAATAGGTACAGCCCCGGGTCGCCGCTATAGCAGGTGGTTCAGAACCATCCGGTCCCCCGCGTTCTACTTGGTTCGACTTCTGAGTAAGTTCCCCATTGTCTTCGTGTTGTCTGGCGATCAAAGTGAGTCTATACCTACTGAAAATTGTTACAATAAGCATATCGACCGGCTATGTATGTTGGCCACTGCCTGTATCCAGACCAGCCCAATCTTATGAGCGGCTCCCGCCGGCACGACTCTTCAAGTATGTACCGGTACCCCTCGTGTTAGCTCGTGTCCCAGTCCCTCCGACGCTCCACAATGCCGCGTGTGTTTCCCTGTCCGCATTTGGACTCTTCCAAGTTTGAGATCTGGACCATCCTGACTGAGCGGCTCTGACCAATTGAGGCCCATATGATCTAATGGAATGCCCAAGTCACTTAGCTGAATGCAACCAGCGCGGGTTTCTATGGAACTGCAAGCCGTTCGGTCGAAGTCCTAATCCATCTGTTGTCTGGTTCTTACGAACTTCTAGCTTTTGACCGTTTTCTGCGTTTAAACCTGAGGGGCGAATTCCTCCTGGTCGAGACTGAGTCCTCTCTGGCGAAGCCAAACTACACACTCGTTCGTTTTCGTCTTCTTTCAGTCGACTCTCCATCCGAAACAGCCCAGGGCAATGTCTGGCGCGGATGCAGCGGCAGCGGCAAAGGCGAAGGCAGCATTAGCTGCCTTCAGTTTGGATGCGACGCTGGGCGCAGATTTCATTGGCTTTGCGGCGGCGACAGCGCAAGTCCCTATTCATCTGCTTGCCGCATATGTACTCACAATCCGAGCAGTGTTTTCGGCATCTTGACATCGCAGGTATTCACGTATTTCAAGCGCTACCCGGCTGACAAGCCAGCGTATAAGCTCCTCGTAAGTGCTCTTTCTCTTCAATTCGGCAGTATTTGATTGTAGTTTGTAGGTCGCAGGCTTATGGTATGGCTCTCGGTACCGTTATTCTTCACTCCTCTCACCCTCTAGCTGCTAGGGTACTAGAAGTTATGGATCAGTGCTTCATAGGGCACCAATTTTATTTCTATTCCATTACGTACGTCCCGGTATCAATGCGCCCAGTGTTGCGTCTGACCTGACCTCTTATCAGTAACTATGGAAATCCATTGGTGCTGCTCGATAAAATTGTCTGGTCACTCGTGGTGGGTATTGTCAATGTATGGTCAGGTACGATCACTGAATAATCTACTCAGCTTCAAGTTGAAGTCGGTGTACGTCCCTTACAGTCTTAACCCGTTCTCCTGGCCTGACCATGTCATAGGCCCTCGTTGGGACAATAGTACAGGCGTACGTTGTTAGTTAACGTGGACTACTGAGCACTGACGTCCCTCTACAGTTGCTTTGCTATGCGTGTCTGGAGATGTATGTTGCACGATGCTATCAGATAGTTGCAGGTATTTACCCTCCGCAGTCAGCGGCCATAATATCCCTATAACTGGTCTTGTGGTAAGTGCAGCGCGTTTGTGCCGGGTCAAGAAAAGATTGAAATTTACTCGATGACTAGCTTGGACTTACAATTGCACGCATGGGTACGTACCACCCAAGCTGTTCTGCGTCTCCAGCTCAGCGACCTTGCTGCGTCCTTATAGGTACCGCTACCTGTAAGGGTTGAACGTATCCTGGCCTAGACCACTGAACTGACATAGGGTGTTCTCTGCGTTACGCTTATGCAGTATTCACTGTGAAGGCGTGAGCGTCATATTCGTCTTTCTGTACTTTGATGGATCTTATATCTGTCCATCAGTTTCGAACTGGAATCCCTAACAAAGCTCCATGACCTGAAGGTGGGACGACATGCATTGTTATCCGTGTCGACGTCGTACTAAAGATCAATAGGCTTTCGGTACTTTATCACTTGCACTAGGCGTCGCCACCGACGCCGTCACCGCTGTAGCTCTATGTTGGTTCCTAAGTAAGTTGAAAACGGGGTACTCAAAGTGAGTCTATCAGGATATCTGCCGCGAACATTAGTATGACCCTCGGTCTTTGCCAGCTCCGATTCTCTTGTAAATAGCTTGTCATTGTATGCGGTGAACACTGGCGCACTAACTAGGTGGGTTCCCTCCGGTCTCCTTAGCGAAGCTCCTCTGATGACATCGCATACAATTTAGTGCCTTCAGTCTTTCAACCTTGATTCTGGTGCGTTTCTCCTACGGTCACCCCACGGGGGAGGATAATGACATCATGCCAGTACAACATCATGCCGACCAATTTCATCTTTATGGGTTGCTACTTCGTGGTCAGCAAGCGTAAGTGGACAGTGCTCTCCCAGTGGAAAATCGTCATTCACTATTCACACAGTGTATGCGGTGTCGTTCTTGGCAACGTAAGTCTTTCCCCTGTTTGCGTCGGCTGCGCTGAAACATTCGGGAGCGCAGATTAAACACAAGACGTACAGTACGTGGCAAAGGAACGGACAGGGAGCGAACAGATCCCTCAAACAGCTTCCACATGCTCACCAACCCGCGTTCTGACTTGAACATCCGGTCTGCTCCAGCGGAAGAGCATGCCATGAAGAAGGTGAGTATCGCACGTTCGAGTGGTGACGTCACTCATATTCAAGCTTCTCAAGTTGTACCCTATTGGAGGATTTGAGGACATCAGGTCAGCTCCTGAGTACCACGTTAAATCCGCTCCGGAGTACGGAGGCGGGGCTGTGAGTGCTTTACACTACAGCTCCTGAAACAGACTGACCTCACTTCAGTCCTGAACCAGGCCCCATATTATGCTAAAGCTTGGTGAGGCGCGAGCAGGTTCTTCGCCGTATCCGAGACTGGTCGACTTGTACTGTATAACCAATCTATCGGGCCTTTTGCTCGCTAGGTATAATTGTTGTGATTTGTCGGGTCTCCGGTAGCAATCCGGTAGTGGAATACAATCGCACTTCTACTATATTATATATATTTTCATGGTCGCTCAAGAGCACCAAGTTGGAATATATCAGTGGCGCCCGGATTTTGCCGTCGATTACCTTGGTTCTGTGCACTGCTATTTGCGGAACATAAGGCGGTGCGCCACTTTCGAGAGCACCTGCGGCAGGGCTCGGATTGACTTAGGAATTTGTACATAGGGATTTTCAGTATAGAACAAAATTGTGGTAGCAAAGGAATAGCGAAAATAAGCCCATGATATGTCCATAGAGTAAGGGTGCTGTGGAGGCATTGTAGGAACAGTAGCCGGTCCATTGAAGGCGGAGAAAATGACATATCCCTTCAATACTTTGTACACAAATTCAATGTATGTACAGAATGCTGAATTAAATTGGTGAAGCCCAAATAATGTACACTGATTGTTTGACATGCCAATTACTCCTCCTGGATAGTCATTTAGGTGCAGAACTTCTCAAAATGCCCCTCCTTTGGGAGGGGTTCTGGCACCCCCAATATGCGGACCACTTTTCGACCGACCGGCGTGCCATGTTTGGCTTTAGTGGCGCCACTACTGAATGAGGACTTGTCTCGAATCAGCTCCGTCAGACCTGAAAGACTTATCAGCACAGTACATGGTTGCTTCAATAAAATGTATGCAGTCCACCTGGAACGGAGTGTATGGAGTTAAAGCTCGTTAAAGCTCCACATTTCATGTTGTTTTGCCACCACTTGAAAGTGGAAATTTCAGGGCATTTACATGCAATGAACTTGAAGCTGAACATAGACATGAGATGCACCTCGGAAAACCATGCAATCCAGATAATGTACAGGTGTAATGCATCCAGCATATTTCGGGCAACACAACATCTCTTCGACGGTCCAGGATATTCCATGGGACTCCTGGACCTGGGAGCGATTAACAGCATGTAGGCTTAATACTGCACCTCCTAAATAAGACTTGGTAGACGAGCAACTGTTAAACAGCATGCAGATTTGTTGAACTGACTAGAACTCGAGGCATTGATCTCAGCATGCTATGATACTATAATTTGTATATGGATTACTACTCAAGCTCAACTAAGACACAAAGGAGGGGTAGGCTGCCGCCGACAGCCGTCGGCGCTTCTCGAGTTCGTAGGGGCCTCATAAATTCATACCGGGCTACCAAACATTTATTCATATATGTCTACGCACGAGGCAGTATTCATAAAGCAGTCCTGGGGCCGAGAGAGCGATTGAGAGACTCGAGAACTGTCCCGAAGCTCTGCCCGAGACGCGCCGGCGCGCTCGTGGGAACTCATTTATCGCGTGACATCACGGTATCTGGACGCGTCGTGCCTCCTTCGGGCATAACTCGGGCACCGTTGACCAGCGTGCAGAAATTGTACGAGCTTGCTTTGAGGGCACATTAATTTATTTTCTGGTTCAATATGATTTTGAAAGACATCTTAGAGCATTTGGTACATTTAAGAGGCCCGTACGAATTTTGAGAAGTTCTGCACCTAAATGACTATCCAGGAGGAGTAATTGGCATGTCAAACAATCAGTGTACATTATTTGGGCTTCACCAATTTAATTCAGCATTCTGTACATACATTGAATTTGTGTACAAAGTATTGAAGGGATATGTCATTTTCTCCGCCTTCAATGGACCGGCTACTGTTCCTACAATGCCTCCACAGCACCCTTACTCTATGGACATATCATGGGCTTATTTTCGCTATTCCTTTGCTACCACAATTTTGTTCCTGACTGAAAATCCCTATGTACAAATTCCTAAGTCAATCCGAGCCCTGCTGCAGGTGCTATGGATTTTTCTTCCCTGGAGGCCAGCTCGCGCCTCGAAAGTGGCGCACCGCCTTATGTTCCGCAAATAGCAGTAATTGTAAAGCAGTATTGCACTTTACGACGGTGCGACGTTGACGTTGACCGCTCTTCCCTAAGCTTCCATGTCTTTCTCGCTCTAGTGTATCTCTCTTCGTCTCTCTTTATTTTGCTATGCATCGTAACACGCCTTTGGTGACGTTGGAGCTGCCTTTGCGCAATAATCCTCTTTCCCCCGTTTCGGATGGCGAAGATGACCGACCGGCGAAGCGTTTCTACCACTACATACCGTTGTATCGTGCGTATTGTTATATTTATATTACCAGGAATACATGCTTAGGCTTCTTAGTTGCCGTATTCTTCATTCTGTCTCCCCATCCCTCCGTCCTGGTCGTCCTGGTGAATTATCACCTGAAGACGCTGAATTCCCCGCTGCGATTCACAGTGCATTTGCTATGCATCTACCTGCTCACCTTCCTTGCTTTCTCTTCCCTCATTGTCTGTATCGCTCGAGATCCTGGTTCTGTCAACACTGAAGAGCAAGCCACTGGTTCTGAGAACGAAGACGGGGAGATGTCCTTGACCGAGGCTCTTATAGGCGGCCATGACGATTCATTCAGCCCAGAGCGATGGTGTCGCAGGTGTCAATCGCCAAAACCGGAACGTGCACACCACTGTTCGCAGTGTGGGCGATGTGTCTTGAAAATGGGTACGATCCTTCTGTCTCTTCTATGGGATAAAGCTGATTCCAGTAGACCATCATTGCGCCTGGGTGGCGAACAAGTGTATCGTAAGGGGGCTTTTTCTACGGTGCGGAGGAGTATATTCACCTGGAGTTAGGGCCACCGGACGTACCCGGCCTTCGTTCATTTCCTCACTTCGGTCACCCTGCTAGCAGCGTACATCACACTGATGTCAGGATCAGCTCTCTGGTTTGCGTTTACACATCCGTTAGACGTGGTACGTAAGATTTGTCCATGAGTATCTCTAGAACACAATTCCTCAACGGTTATCAGGACGAGAAGACGCCTATTCATGAACTGTTTATATTCGCGGAGGGATTTGTGTTTTCACTGGTGATAGGTTCTTTCCTCATCTACCATATATACCTTGTATCGTGAGTCTGCTTCACTAACCTGTTGTATTTGATCGACTCAGTCTCTCGTTACAAGGACCAATCAAACTACACTTGAGCACCTATCTCCCTTCCTACTGTTACGATATCTTCCTCCCTTCCCTCCCTCCGAAGACAGTCATAAGCTATCGAATCCTCCGGAAGAGCATGAACTCTCGTTCCGGCAAAGGAGTCTTATCAGAGCTGCTCATGGGCATATACGTTTGTACGATGTAGGCTGGCGCAAGAACTGGGCGCAAGTGTTTGGCTGGAACAAGAGATGGGGTTGGGTGTATCGGTTAGTATTCGGCGGCGGATGGTGCGTGCGGATATACCCGGTCATGATACTCTTCGGCGGTTGACTACTAACATCTGCATGCTTTAGTCGAGGCGATGGAAGGCATTTCCCCCGAAATCCCCGGACGGACGAGATGCTAGCTCGGCTCGCGTCCGAGTTAGTCAAAGTGGATAAAGACAATTGAATCTATACTGGTGTTGTGTATACGGTAGAGACGATATACCCACGGAAACCCCGTTGTGCTGTTTTTCACTGGAGTATCATATGTAGCATTATTGATACACTTCGATTTCGTATGTACATCCTCCTTTGAGGGACAGGACTGACAGGCCAGGAGTCACAATTACAGAGCATTTTCATCAGGTCTACGGTCCTTCACTGGGTCCTGCAATCCTCGTCCTCGTCACTCTCGACTCCAGCATCCGGGCCCACCCCGCGTCTTTCCATGTACCCGGTGCGTGGATCTCCGTCACATCCTTCATAATAGGGGCCCCACTTGCGGCCTTCATCCAATCCCAGGTTCGTCCTCACCACGGTGAATTCCAGGTCGTACCTGCAACGTGGAAGTTCACGCCATATATCAGATAGGGCGACCGCTTCTGGCCCGTCGATAGCGGTGGTTGCGTTCATTTGGCTGTCCAAAGTGCCGTTGCCTAGGATGGGCGATGACATGCGAGCACAGAAAGTAACGCTGTCCAGCGCGAATTGGACCCGACCACCAGTCCCGAGGAAATGGTTGACAGCACTCTCATCTGCCGTCGTAAGAGGACCTCGGTCATTGGGCGTCCATTCGCCCAAGTAGCCGCGCTCGAGGTGCCAGAAAATTTCTTTTATGGCAGGGATTGCTCTTTAAGTCAAGAGGAGGTAAATAGAGTAAAATATGAGGGGGTTCCCGTAATGAACGTGTTGATGGGCCACGGGACCTGTAGTGCTCTGGGAAGGAATTGACAGGGGCCGAAACCCCGATAGTCTTCCTTCAAATCATGTAATGCGTGAGAGCTTGTACTATTCAATAGTGGATGACTTCCCGTAACGCTAAATCGCTATTTTTTCTAAAATTTCGTCCCTAAATCCCTAAAATCTGGCCCCGATGTGATCGTGCCGGGATGCCAAATTGTCACGCTTTCCATGGTAACGTTTTGTTGATGGCGGTCGTCAAGCAAAGGCGTCTCTAAATCCTGGACTTTACAGAGGGGTCCCTACCCCTCTGTAAACTGCTGAACGTCTCTAAATCCTCGCTTAGAGTCGGCTAACACTCGCTTAGCGTCGGCTAGCATTGATGCCTCGTGAGCGCCTCCATATTTGGATGGATCTCGTGCTTCTTCGCTCCAGCAGCGTTCTGCGTCTCGCAGCAGCGAAGAGTCCTCACGGTTTAGAGACCATCTCTATTTCTCCGTATTTATCCCATCAAAATCGATCACTCAGTGTGACCACTTCGCTGACAACGCCTTAGAAATAGGGAAAATAAGGATTTAGCGTTACGGGAAGTCATCCAGTTAGTAGGAGGTAACAATGCTCGTTTGGACTGACGTACTGCTCAGGCGAGTGGCCATCTGCGGAGACAGCCATCCGTTGAGGCACCGACCGCAGGTGCAGCCAGGACCCCTGATTATCAGTATCGAGGCTTTGTGGAAACGCGGACAAAAGTTGGCCATCTGAGACCCCTCAGGCCTGATTTTTCGCGGACAAAGCGACCGATTTTGGGAGCCCAGCGGCCAACCCTTATTTTTCCCGCGGACATCACCTGCCCATTTCGGGCAGGATTTCTCGGCATACGCCGAGCGCGGGAAGATTTGAGCGTTACCCACGCCACAATTCCCAAATATGGAAGGCAAATCGAGCTGGCACCTGATTTTTCGCGGACAAAAGGGCGTAAAATCGGGAAATTTGGCGCGGACAAAGACGCTGAATTTTGGGCATCTAAAATAAAGCCTCGATACTGATTATCAGGGGTCCTGTGCAGCCCCATCGCTTCTTCTCGACGTAGTCATCTTCGCTACCGGCCCGGAGTGCCGCTGCGACGCCCATGCGATGCAGCAACAGATACTCGATACGCAGGTACTCGGTCTTGAACCCGACCCACTCCGGCTTGCGTACCATCATAGACATAAAGAGCGTGCGGCCCGACTTAGTGCGTGTCCTGTCGATCTCCGTCTTCTCCCTGCAGATCTCGAGGGGGTTATGACCGTCGAGGTTGTCGCGATCCCAGAGAGCAGCTGTGTTTCCGATCTGTAATAAAGTGCGGACGGCGTCGACTTTGCCTTCACGGGCAGCTAGAAAGAGGGGCGTCCATCCGTTACGGTCTTTCGCGGCTGGGTCCTTGGTATGAGCAGACGCAATCAGTCGAATAAGGGGTTGTGGTGCGTCTTCCACGGTGTCAAAGGTCGGATGCCTGGTGCGGGCAGCTTCCATCACTCGAGTCATGGTGTCCTTGAGGTCGCGGATTGCGGAGTGCACGGGAAATTCTCTGATTGCTCTTCTCGTGACCCTGTCATAAGGATCTGAACTGCCGGTGTCCGAGTCCCGGGGAACGTCATCGTCGGTAATGCTCTCTGGATGGTTCTTGTAATATTGAACGTCAGGAGGATATGGATATCGACAGTGCACGGTAAGAGGCTGGAGGCGTGTGATGCGTTGGGCGCACGGGCAAGATAATAACTGCGTCCGACGCGACGGAAACCGTTCTGAAATGTTGTCTCGTGAGCCTAGGGTACAAGATAACGAACAGTGGCGGACTGTACCTTCCGGAAGAAGTTATCGTACTTAGGGGTAGTTTCAAGATTTTCGCGGAAGGTCGCGTTGATGTGAAGCGCCCGATTCTGAAGTGGGTAGCAAAAAGCCATTTATCTTTGGCATGCTTGGATGCGAACAATGATTCCAGCATCTTAGAACCAATGCCTATCCCGCGATACTGTGGCGTATTTTTAGTGGATGTTCAGCATAATCACTAACAAGGAGGCTCACCTTTCATTGACGGTGATATCGACAATGTAGAGAAGATCACCCTGACTCATCTCGTGGCCCCAACAGCCAGTACCTCGATGATGAGCATCCTCTACATACTGGGGCCTGAGCCGGCCAAACTTGTCAAACAACCTCTCGGAGAACGTTGCCAGTTCTACGCTCTCCTCGTACAGTATGCTCTGAAATAGGTCCTCGGTCTCGGTACGACGCACGATGGTAGCACAGCCCGAGGCGAGCTCTCCACGGATCGGGTGTGCCGTTCGTATGCTCAGATACGACATGTGTGGGCAGGCATGGTGTGGCTCGAGCTTGAATGTGGTGAGACATCTGCGAGGGATATCAGCCGCGTTGGCCCCGCGCGACATGTTGAGAGGTGGACGGTGGGGATCAGGGTCAGGAGACACCAGCGTATCTCTAGGACCATCATCCTTTTAGGCAGAGAGAGCCGAGCAAGAGCTCCGACAGAACCTAAATAAATGCAGTAAGAACGCGACGATCCCCAGGCGTTGAATCTATCGATCCTGAAAAGATACCTGTTTGCCGCATGCGACCAGAGTCCACTTGATCCACAGTCAGCGCTTGCACAAATCGAAATATGAGAGAAGCCGAAGTGCGCAAAACCGTTTGGATTGCCACACCGAAAAGGGGAAAATAGGGAGACAGTATTAGAGAAATGCACGAGCCAAATCAACAATCACGAAGAATATTGCACCAGGTCCTGACAGCATAAGGCGAGCAGTTGTCACGAGAGTTCAGAACTCTCGATCCTGCGCACAACCTGCGCAAGAGGGAGACTGAGGTTCTAGTGGAGGGATCGTGCTTGCCCAAGTCCATTGCGACAGACGTTCCTGCAGTAGTCCGGCTTTCTCTAAACCCACAGGTGTGTGGTTTAGAATCAAAACGAAGCTCAAGAGAACAAACGGCTAAATCAAAGACGAATTTTGAAGTCGAACTATCGAAGGGGCAAGGAAAAGTAAGTAAAACGTTTATTATGTAACGGAATCGACGACGGTCTCTGGGTCCACGCGTCCACCAGGGGACTTCATGATTGACATCGTAGCGGCGCAAGCACCAATCCCCGACTCCAGTCAGAAACCATTAAGTATTCCATTACTAGTGTGTGGTCAAGCTGCGGAATGCCACTCTTGACAGACACATACACAGTATTCATATAGTCCTGTCTTATTATCTACATCAGTATTTAAAGGGGCTTCTCGAGTTACCAGTTGCCGCTCAGAGATACTAGTCTCATCTATTGGCCTCACTTGTTTGAATGCATCCTTTTATCGAATGCTATGCACTTGCATCACTTGATCGTTCACGTTAGGTGTGTGCGGGCAGTTGTCTTCAAGTCGAAACGAAAGTGGCGTCGGTCCGGTCGGGACCGTTGCTTACATGAGGTTCTCACGGCGAGAGCGAGTTGTATGGTGGAGCGACC